TGCAATGGGGAAATAAGAAATACAGGAAATGGGGTACAGAAATCCATTCTGCCCTACAGGAAAATTGAAGGGGAAGAGGAGAAGAGAAGGGGGGAGAGATAGAAGGGAAGGCAGAGTAGGGGAAGAGGTATTCAGAATGCATGCCATCTTGGGGGTGGGGGAGGGGCGAGATGAGGTGAAAATCTGGAACTCAAAATCTTGTGGAAGTAAATGTTGAAAACAAAAAAAATAAATAAAAATTACCATAAAAATGGGAATAATTATAGTACCCTTCTCCTGGGGTGGTTGTGACAATAAAATGAAAAGTGCTATATAGGGCAGCTAGGTGGTCCAGTGTATAGAGCACTGGCTGTGGAGTCAGGAACACCTGAGTTCAAATCCAGCCTCAGACACATGATACTCACTAGCTGTGTGGCCTTAGGCAAGTCACTTAACCCTGATTGCCTTGCAAAAAAAAAAGTGCTATATAAATGCTAACTATTGTTACTATTATTATCAGGATATTGGAATGGGGCAGAAGAAGGGATGTCAAGGAGAAAGGATATAAGAGGGTGAAAAAATAAATCTCCATGCATTGCTACTGTACCTTGATGAGGACAGACTAGACAAATCCTGAAGGCATCTATTTTCTCTACGGAACTCATTCTATCTCACCCCAGCCAAAGAGCTTCCCACCCCTCAAGGCCTGGGTACCACCTGTCATCACTTCCATCCACGCTCCAAACCTCTTCCCCAAAGCAGCAGGTCAATGGGGTCTGGAGCCCTTCAAACCTGATGATGAGGATATTCATAGGGTGTTAACTACTCTGGCACATCTGGGGGGGGGGGCATTATTCCATTTGGAGACCCAAATTGGAAGTCTTCTCCCTACCCCCAACTGCATCACATAACTGTCCTTATGACCTATAACTGTTTCTGGGGGGCAGCCAGGTAGAGCACTGGACCCGGAGCTAGGAAGACCCCTGGAAAAGTCACCTAACTTCTGTCTGCCTTAGTTTCCTCAACAGTAAAATAATGATAATATGAGCAGCTACTTCACAGAATTGTTTGCCCAGTATTATATAACTAGAGCTAAGATATCAAGGAAATTTTCCTTCATAATTTATTGAAATATGATGTCTAGGCTCTTTTTTTGATTATGGCTTTCAGGTGATCCAATAACTCTTAAATTATCTCTTTTTGATCTATTTTCCATATCAGTTGTTTTTCCAATGAGCTATTTCATATTTTCTTCACCTTAAAAAATTTGTTTTGACTTTGTTTTATTGTTTCTTGTTGTCTTGTGGAGTTATTAGCATCTTCTTGCTCAATTCCAATTTTAAGGAATTATTTTCTTCAGTGATGTTTTGTACTTCCTTTTCCATTTGGCCTATTCTGCTTTTCAGGGAGTTCTTTTCTTCAGTGAATTTTTGTGCTTCTTTTATGGTTAGATCAATTCTATTTTTTTTTAATGAGGCAATTGAGGTTAAATGACTTGCCCAGAGTCATATAGCTAGTGAGTGTTAAGTGTCTGAAGTTGGATTTGAACTCAGGTCCTCCTGAGTCCAGGGTCGGTGCTCTAACCACTGTGCCACCTAGCTGCCCCTCAATTCTATTTTTTAAAGTGTTATTTTCTTCTGTATTATATAATATATACCAAACTGTTAATTATCTTTTCATGCTTTTCTTGCATCACTCTCATTTCTCTTCCCAATTTTTCCTCTACCACACTTAACTCTTTCAGGAATTCTTGCTGACCTTGGGTCCAATTAGCATTCTTCTTTGAGGCTTTGCTTGGAGCTATTTTAACATTATCGTCTTTTTCTGAGTTTATGTCTTGGTTTTCCCTGCCACTATATTAGCTTTTTATTATCAAGTTATTTTTTGTTTGCTCATTTTTCCAGACTATTTCTTGACTTTGAACTTTGTGATAAAGTTGGGCTCTGCTCACCTTGAGGTGGGGAGTCACCGTCCCAAACTTCAGGTTTTTCATGGTACTATTTTCAAAGCTAGTTTTGGGGCTCTGCAAGTTTTTTGTGCCTCCAAGGTGGTGTGCTGCAGGGAGACGTGTGGTCACTGATCTCCTGGTTTGTGCTATGGTCTTTACCCAATGAGGGCCCCTGCTTCCCTGCTGCTGCAAGCACTAGTGTCCCTCTTGACTCTGGAACTGTGACCCAGAACTGCTCATGGACAATAGAGTTGTCAATCAGCACCAGCTGTACCCAGTGCCAGCGAAGGGTCCCCTGTATTCTCTTTCTGACCAGTTGTCCAATCTCTTTACGGCTGTTGGGTTGAGAGCTCCTGAAGGTGCTGCTGCTGTTGTCACAGCAACATCCAAAGGCTGAAGCTCGCTTCTGGTGTTGCCACTGTGTGTGCCCTGGCTGGCCCCCACCCCATGTCACAGACTTCTACCAATCTCCTAAGTTGTCTTAGGCTGGAAAAATGTTTCCCTGTCATCTTTTATTGGCTCTGCTGCTGCAAAATTTGACTTGAGGCATTATTTTAAAGTTGTTTGGAGGGGAATGTTGGAAAAACTCAGCTGGGTTGCTGCCTGTACTCTGCCATCTTGGCTCCAGGAATAGTTCTTGATCCATCATATAACTAGAAGGTATCGCAGACAGCATTTAAACTCAGGTCTTCCTAACTCCAGGTCCAGCACACTACACTTTGCCCCACCTAGCTGCCTCCAAGCATAGGTGTCTCTGTACTGAGGGCTATCAGTTAAAGAAGAAGCGGGCATCATGAAAGGGAGTGTCTGGTAATATTTGGAGGGTGAATTGAGTGTTGAGTACATGATTCTTTTTTCTAGGGGAGATAAGACAACTTTGCCTGAGTATGGTAAGTCCTATGTGTCCCCCCTTCCCCATTACACACACACACACACACACATACACACACACACACACACATCTCTTTGGACAGAGGGAAAAGAGATATTTAGTTAATTAATACTAAATTCCTGAGGACCTGATTCTTGTTCTTTTGACAATTCCTCCCTGGAAGATTTGCCTGGGTCTCAGAGTCTTTCCTCTGAGTCCTTCTATGTCTTTGAGAAACCAGTGGACCATCTATTGCTTCATGCTTGATTCGTGACTGGCTTCCTTCCTCTTCCAGTCATAGAACACTTTTTAGCGACTTCTGCCCAAATCCTCATTTAGTGGAGCTTACTTATAAGATCACAAGGGTGCTTAGAAGAACACAAAACTCTCAGGTCCCACTTCATATTCATTGAAATGGCAAAGTTAAAGCTGACCAAAAAAAAAAAAAGAAAAAAGAAAAAAGAAAATGACAAAAGCTAGGAGAGATGTGGGAAAATACCGACATTAATGCACTCTTGGTGGAGCTGTGAACTGGTCTAGCCATTCTGGAAAGCAATTTGGAACTATAGCCCCAAAGCTATTAAACTCTGTGCACCTTTGACCCAGAGATATCGATACTACTAAGTCTACATCCCAAAGAGGAAAGGGACACATATGTATCAGAATATTAACAGCAACTCTTTTTATGGTTGCAAGGAAGTGGGAACTGGAGGAATACCCATCAATTGGGAAATGGCTAAACCAGTTATTGGATAGAAATTTAATGAAAAACTATTGTGCTGTAAGAAATGATGAAGGGGATGGTTTCAGAGAAACCTCGGGGGAATTTGTAGGAACCGATTCAGAGTGAAATGATCAGAACAAAGAGGACAAATTGTACAATAACAACGATATTGTAAAGACAACTTTTAAAGACTTAGGAACTCTGACCAAAACAATGACTAATCACAGTTCCAGAGGACTTATGATGAAACATGCCACCTAGCTCCAGATAGGGAGGGGATGAACTCAGAGTGCAGACTGAGGCATATTTTTTTAGACGTGGCCAATAAAGGGATTTGTTTTGCTTGACTGCACGTGTTTGTAGCTGAGGTTTGGTTTTTCTTGTTTTCTCAGTGGGGGAAGGGGAGAGAATTCAAACCTGAAGATAAAATCAAATTGAATTTAAAGGAAAAAAAAACAAGCTAGAAGACTTTAAAAGTCATCTAGTTCCTCATTTTACAGATGAGGAAACTGAGGCCCAGAGAGAGTGACTTGGCCAAGGGCACCCAGGGAAGTACAGAGCTGAGATTCCAACCCAGGTCCCAAGATTCCAATGTTGGCATTCTCTCCTCAGTTCCAGTCACGGCACCTCCCAGTTGCTTTTGAGTTGTGCCAGAAAAGAGTTTTGAGAGTCCCTTGGAAAGCAAGGAGATCAAATCAGTCAATATTTAAAGAAATTAATTCAGGCGAGTCACTGGAAGGTCAAATACTGAAGCTGAAGTTTAAATACTTTGGTCACATAATGAGAAGACAGGACTCTTTGGAAAAGACCCTGATTTGGGGAAAGATTGAAGCCAAAAGGAGAAGGGGATGGCAGAAGATGAGGTGGGTAGATAGTGTCATGGAAGCAACAGACGTGAGCTTGGACAGGCATGGAGAGAATAGAAGGGCCGGGCACACTGTGGTCTATGGGGTCACAGGGTTGGACGTGCCTAAACGACCGAACAACAAAAATCCCTGACCAGTGGGCCATTCAATCTTTGTTTGAAAACCCTTTCCTGAGAGGACCCTCACTGCGCAGCAAGTGTCCTTCCCACTTTGAAACTTCTCTATTAGGGTTTTAATTTTTTTTTTTCTGTCGTCAAGCTTAAATTTGCTCGTGCAATTTCCACTCACTGTTTCTAGCTCTGCCCTCAGAGCCAAGCAGACAAGGCCAGTCCCTCTTGCACACGACAGCAATGGCATTCTTCTTCCCAGCCCCATCCGGGATCCTCACCAGCCTCAACTGATCATGGGATGGTGGGGGTGGGACAAGGGGTGGAATGGGAACCTGTTCTTCTGTAGGGGTCCAAAGGAACTGAACTAGATGGTGTGGACTTCTGCCTGGGAAGGGAATCAGTCTGACTGTGGCATAAGCCCTGGGACAATTTCAGGAATATAGGAGACACTCAAAAGGTAGAAACCACCTGGATGGACCGTGAAGACTGATTTGTTGGTACCTTAAACATTTTTTAATCGATACCTTTTGTTTTTACATCACCTTCATTCCAAATAAATCCCTTCTCCATCCAGAGATCTGTTTGTAACACCGTCCCTCCCAAAAAGATAATATTTTTAAAAGCCTTTCAAGAACTTCAGCAACGTCTCACCTGAGTGTAGCAGTACCTACAGCGCCCCACACCCAAAGCCCCCTCCTCTGCACAGGACGTGGGGGAATGCATTTTCTCAGCTTCTCTTTTCCCCAGACACTGCTTTGCTCACAGTTACCAGCATCCTGCTGTTTCATTTTGGGGATACTCTCCATTTCCATCACTGTAGCTGCTGAGGACAAGATTTCCTTGACATTGATTGGTTCAGGCGAGTCTTCTCCATCACCTGACCCTGAAGCATTCTCCTGAATTGATCATCTTTTCTTTTGTGAAATCCAGGGTGGCTGGCATGGCCGAAGGGAAAGAGGGCCTGCTGCCAGAAATGACCAGCTGGTCACGGCATCAGCGGCAGAAGGGACCAAGTGTGTGTGGGTCCCAGGACCCAGGGCACCAAGCAGGCTCGGGGATGGAGAAGGTGCTCCTGTACATGTACCTGTGGGCTTCCCCTCTAGAATGGAAGCTTCTAGAGGGCAGGAAGGATTTCACTAGCACCTAGCACAATGCCTGAAACAGAGCACATACTACATGATTGCTTGTTGATCTGTTGGTCACTTACTTGTAGTGTAAAGTTGGACCTAGAAGACCAGGGTTCTAATGCTGCCTTGCCACAATGAGACCTTGGACCAGGCACTGACCCTCTTTGAAATCTCAGATTCCTCAGCTGTAAAATGAGGAGATAGGCCCCTCTCTTCCAGCTCTTAATTTATTTCTCTGATTCTTGAGCCAGGGATGAGGGATCAGAAGATTTTAGAAGGCAGCACGGAATCGGGAAAAAGAGCTCCAGACTTGGGGTCAGACGATCTGAGTTCCAATCCTGCCTCAGATACTTAATAGCTGTGTAACCCTTGGTGATTCACTTACCCTCTGCCTCAGTTTCCTTATCTGTAAAATGGGGGTATCATCTCCCCCACCAAGTTGTAGTGAAGAAAGTGCTTGGTAAATATTAAGATGATATGCAAACAGGTATTGTTATTTCCATAGGGATTAGTAAGGGAGACAGTCCTGGGGCTGAAGGCAAAGGGCCCTTGGACCATTTCTGAGGAAGATCTGGCAAATTGAAATGGTCTGAAACACCCTGGCAGATTCCTGACCGAGTCCACGGCCCATATCTGCCAATTCCACTCCAGACTATTCCAGTAAGATCCCTCCAGGTCCAGTCTGTCTTGGGGCCAGGGATGAATCAGACTGAACCCTTTCTGCAACACTCATTGCAGCTGAGGAAGGTCGTAGGGCTCCTGGGTTTGCCAGTGGAACCTCAGTTTAGCTGCAGGGAGAATGGGAGGAGGAATGTCACTGAGCAGGCCTAGCTTTGGCACGATTCTAGGAAACCTGGGGAAGTCCCACCTCCCCCCCCACCCCCAATGACTCCTCCCCAGTCCTCCTTCTTGCCGGGTGAGGCCTGAGATTGCTTCACCCCAAGGAGAGAGCTGAGGCTAAGGAAATACATCCCCCTGGGGGAGGGAACTCAGAGACAAGGAGAAACATGTGACAGAAGGGTTCTTAACCCAAGGTCCACGGACTTAAAAAAGCATTTTTTGTAACTATTTCAATACAATTGGTTTCCTCTGTGATCCTCTGTATTTTATGTAATGCATTTAATTTAATTCTGAGAAGGGATCCTTAGGCTTCACCAGATTTGCCCAAAGGGGTTATAACATAAAAAAGGTAGAGAATCCCTCCCCCTACACAGGGTCAGCGATGGATCCCAAAGGCTTCCCTGGGCTCTGTTCAGATGGGGGAGGGAGACAGAACAGAGTCCTAGAGGCCTAGGGGAGGGGAAGGGAAAATTGTGGAGTAGACAAAGAGGCACACAAAGAAAATCTTAGCTTCCCAGTGGACCTCCAGAGCTGAGGTCTAAGCTCCTTGCTATATAGCCAGTGTCCTCGCTGATCAATCTGGCCAGGAATCCCCATTCCTGCCCTACTCCCATCTCTCTGTAATAATGAGGAGGCCTTCCTAAGTGACACTATTTCCTGACTCCCAGAATCTCAGCACCTCAAAGCTGGATGGAACCTCAGAGGTCTTTGGTTAGGGATCCCCTCTTCTCTGTCAATCACCCCGGAACACTTTCTGCCCACAGAGTGGGGACCTTCACAGCACAATCAGTCCAGGGAGAAGCAGAGGGTTGGGAGTCAGCCCCTATCACAAGCTGCCTAAAAGAGGGGGCCATCTGGGGACAGGGGCAGAGTGGCGACGAGGAGCAGGAGCTGCCTCTTTGCAAATCTGTTCAGTCCAGAGTGGGGGTGATGCAGCTGCTCTCAGTCCCAGGTACGAGCTCTGTTTCTCACCCCCATATCTAATCTGCTGCCAAAGCCTATGACCCCTTTTCCCTGCTGACACTGGTCCTCATCACTCATGCCTGGACTGCTGGTGGCTCTGCCTGCCCAAGTCTCCCCCCACTCCGATCCATCCTCTGTTTCGCCACCAGAGATTGTCCTAAACACAGACCTAAGTCACTCCTCTACCCAGTAAACTCCAGGGTCTCCCTATTGCCTCCAGGATCAAATACAAAATGTTCTGCTGGCTTTTGAAGCCCTTCACAACACCCTGTCCTACCTTTCCGGTCTTCTTACACCTTACTCCTTTTGGCCCAGTGACCTGGCCTCCTGGCTGTTCCATGAACAAAGCACTCTGTCTCTTGGCTCTGGGCATTTTCACTGGCCGTCCCCCATGCCTGGAATGTCCTCCCTTCTCTCTGCTTCCTGCTTCCTGCTTCCTTCACATCCCAGCTAAAATCCCACCTTCTACAGGAAGCCTTTCCCAAACCCACTTAATTCTGCCGGCTTCCCTCTCTTAATTAATTCTCATTTATTTTACGTATATCTCGTTTGTATGTCTCTGTTTGCTTGTTGCCTCCCCCTTAGACTGGGAGCTCCTTGAGGGCAGGGACTGTCTTTTGACTCTTTTTGTATCCCCGGAGCGTAGCGCAGTACCGGCACACAGTAGGTGCTTAATAGACACCTACTGACTGAGCAGTGGGCTGGGAAGCTGCGGCACATCCCCTCCTTGTCCCTCTCCCACAGATTGCCCTGGGCACCAGACTTTCATCCCACAGCTCTAGGGCTCTGAGATAACCTTTCACCTCTAGGAGAAACCCCTGGACAAGCAACAGCGAATAGCAGGTACGGACCCGGGCTTGGAGTCAGGGAAAACTGGTTTCAATCCTTGAGGTCACTGACCAGAGCTGGAAGTGACTTTAGACACCATCTAGTCCAATGCCATCATTTTCCAGTTGAGCAAAGACGCAGTTAAGCCCCATAACTTCCGTGGTCATACGATGGTAGAGCAGGGATTTGGACCCAGTTCTGACTCCAGATCTAGCTGTGTGACCCAGCAGTCCCTGAACCACTCCAGGCCTCATTTTCCTCATCTATAAAATGGGGATAAGTGCACCTTTCGGACTCTCCTCATAGGGTTGTTGTGGGGTTCACTACATACGTGTTAATTACTGTTTCGCGTCAGAGAACCCGGCCTGGGTTTTGCCACTCTGGGGCGAGTCAATCCCCTGCTCTGGGTCTCGGTCACCTTATCTGTAAAACGTCAGGGATGGACCAAATAGTATCTATGGTACCTTTTAGCTCAAAATCCTACACACAGAACTAATGGCTTGTTGACTCAAACTGGATTAATCTTGATTTTTCTTCACCACCAGGAGCAAGCTCTCATCCCTCCCAGGTGTTTGCCTTGGACCATTCTTCTAGTAGGATTCGGGGCGGAGCCAGGGACCAGCAGGAGAATAGAGGATTGGGTTTGGGGCGTGGCTGGGGGGACTGGGGAGAGGGACTGGTTCTCACCTGCTCCACTGAGGACTTCTTGGTCCCCTGATCCCCAAGGCTTCCCTCTGGCCACTCCCTGGGGGGCTGCTCAGCCTTGCTGGTCCTTTCCCGTCTCTCCCCAAACAGATCCTGCAACTGAATTGTAAGAGGAAGATAGAGCTGGGGGCAGCTAGGTGGCGCAGTGGATAGAGCACCAGCCCCAGATTCAGGAGGACCTAAGTTCAAATCCGACTTCAGACACATTACACTTACTAGCTGTGTGACCCTGGGCAAGTCACTTAACCCCATTTCCTAGCCAAAAAAAAAAAAAAAAAAAAAGAAGTCTTATAGATAGATCCTGGCAGGTAAGGCCAGCCAGAGACAGAAAGCCCTCCTTTTGGGGTCAGTCCCTCTGCCTCCTCCCCCAACCCCACAGCCCCTCCACCTCCAAGCAGACCTGCCCCATACCTGCTCAGTCACCAGCCGATGCTGGTGTTTAACCCGCTCAATGTCCCTGAGGTCACTCCGGGGAGCTCGGCCCCCCTTTGGGGTATGCCTGTTGGGTCCCTGGGATCGCAGATCACATGATCACAGATTTAGAGCTAGAAGGGTCCTTAGGGGGCATTGAGTCCAACCCCTGTCCCACCCCTTCATTTTACAGATGAGTAAACTGAAGCTGACTGAGATGAAATGACCTGTCCATGGTCCCATGAGGCAACTAGGCGGTCAAAGGGATACAGTGTCTTGGTTTTTTTTTTTTTTTAGTTTGGTCTTGGGGGGGGCAATTGGGGTTAAGTGACTTCACAGCTAGTAAGTGTCAAGTGTTTGGTTTGAGGCTGCATTTGAACTCAGGTCCTCCTGACTTCAGGGCTGGTGCTCTATCCACTGCGCCACCTAGCTGCCCCTAGAGAGTCTTGGAATCAGGAAAATCTGCGTTCAAATCCTTCCTCAGACTGTACTAGTTGTGTATCCCAGGTCAAGTCATTTAACTCCTCGGTCTCAGTTTTCTCATCTGTAAAATGGGAATAATAGCACTGCCATCGTGGGGTTGGTGTGAGGACCAGATGAAACAGCACATGTAAAACACCACATGATCACTATTAGTGGTAATAAGCATCTCGGGAAGGATATGAGAGCTCAGGTCTAGCCTGACTCCCAGGCCAGTGGTACTCTATCCATTGCTCTACGCAGCCGCCTCTTGGGGAAGAGGTGGGGAGAAAACCAACGGAGGGGGTGGGTGCTGGGACCACCAAAGGCACGTGAGAGCCCACCAACCTATTCCCGTTCCAAGCTGTTCCCTCCCACTCTATCTCTGGCCCATGCCTGGATCCTGGAAGGAAAAGTTTGGGGCCTTCCTGGTCTGGGAGGAGAGAGCCTTGTGCTCTGAAAAACGGAGGGAAGTGGGCAGGGGAAGAGGACAGAGCTCACTCACCTCCAAGACTTTCTGGGGCTGCCCCAGTGCCTGTGGCTTCTCTGCTGGTTTTGAAGACACTTCCCAACCTGGAGACACCCCAGGGCCCAAAGCTAGAAGCTCACAGTCCCTCCGGGTACCCCTGCCCCTCATCCCAGCCCTGGTCACCCCCAGACCTTCATCCTAGCCCTGGCAATGACTGTGGAGGGGCACTTAGCTCAGGGGGGCTGAGAAGAGACAGCCACACCCCCAGAGAAACAAGGATCCTGAATCATCTTGAAAGGAGTGCTAGAGCATGGTTTGTAAGTGATCGTTTGCAAAGCACATGCAGACCATGAGCAACTCAGGAACCAGGGGTCAGGGTGCTCATCCTCTTGGCACAACCTTTCTGAGCCGTCTTAGACAGTCTCTCTGGGCCTCAGTTTCCTTAAAAAGCAGTTGATCCTTTCTGGCTCCAATTCGCTATGGTTCCATAAGACTACAAACCATTTCCAATAAAACGCTGCTTGGGCATCACACTGAAAATGGACCCAGTTTCTGCCCCCAGCGCCAGGTGGAGGTCAAGGGGAACTCACCTTGAAGCACTTTGTCCAGCTTTTCCAGGAAGGCGTTACAGTGACTGCAGTGGCCCTGGGGAACCTCCCCCCAGCCAGCTCGGGGGCCCCTCTTCAGCTCTTCGGGGACCAACTGGCTGAAGCCCGGCTGGGAGTTAAGGGGTAATTTCTAGGTATGAGCACATTTGCATTCCATGAACCATCTTATCAAAGCCATTTTTGGTCAGTTTCCAGTAACTAATGCATTTGAGCCTGGGACCCAAGATCAATCCATGTTTCTGAAAATCCTCCTCTTCACCCTGTGTAGACACTCCTGCCCCTCTGGCCAGGCCTCCCGCCCCCACCTGGCTCCAGTCCCCAGCCCTGCCCCCTGTCCTACGGCTGCTACCTTAAGCAGGGAGGAGGGCGTCATCTCTGTCTCCCCCTGCTCAGCGGCCCTTGGGTTCAGGAGCTCCCTCAGTGCCTGCTCCCTGTGGACACAGATTTTCATTTAAAATTTCAAATGCCCAACTGCCCTAGGAAAGGCTCGCAGCTTCCTCCTGATCAGAGCCTCTAAATGGGAACTGAAAAATAGCTAAGGTCCTAGAGGCCCTGACTGTCACCACCAGCTGGGTGACTTTAACCCTTAGAGAGAATCTCTAGCATGCCTTGAAGAAACTGAGGCCCAGATTGGTGAACACCACCCACAGATGGATCCCTAACCCCAGGCACAAACAGGCGCTGAGACCAGCCACTTTGAGAGGCAGTTGCTTACACAACCCTTCACCCCCAGCCTCATTTTCCTTCTCTGTAAAATCAAGGAGCTTGGGATAGATGGCCTCTGAGATTCCACGCAGCACTATGAGCCCACCTTGGTCACTTTCGCCAGACAGCTCCTTCTAAAAGAGGGAGGCGGGGCTGGCAAGGGAGAGCTGAGATCAATATTATTCCAGGCCCAACCTGGAGCAGGCTCTGGAACTGTCCGAGGATGACCCGGCTGCATTGAGCCTTCCACACTCCCACTCCAGGTCCCGAACCCTAACCCTGATGGGCAACTGTCTCTGAAGGCTGGCTGGTTTAGTTAAGGGTTATGCTGGGGCCAAGGTTAAGGGTCAGTCTATGCCTAGGCTCAGGGCTCAGTCTGTGGATGGAATAAGGCTGCAAAGTAGCCGGAGAAGCTAGCTTTCCCACATGAGATTGAACCAGATGTCCTATATTTCATGGGGGAAAAACTGCATGTGATTGGGAGCACAGGGGCACTTTGGAGGGGATGCTGGGCCTGAGAACTTGAGAAGCGTGCGTTTCTTACGTGTTGAGGCCGACAGGGGCCGTCTTCAAATCAGGTGTGAACGGAGGACGGGAGCCCAGGCTTTCAGGAAGGGTTATTTAGACCTCTGGCCCCCCTGGCGCAGGTCCTCCCTCCCTCCTGCCCAGCCTCCCTTCTAGTCTCTGGCACCAGCTGCATAATGCCCTGGGGCTCTTGGCCCCGTGTGTGCCTGTGAGGCAAGGCTTCCCAGAGCCGGTTTGGTCTAGGCGCAGGGGGAACGCAGACAGTTCCTGCTCCGTGCCTGGCACCCCCTGTGCCCACCCCCACCCAGGAGCACTCGGGATGTGCCAACTTGGCTGGAAAGTGCCCTTTTCTTTCCTAAGAGACAAGAGAGGCCTTGGGGGCAGGGAGAGGACTGTGCCTGTTCTGCAGTTTCCCAAGACTAGAGCCATACTTTCCCCATTAGACGAGGAGCTCTCTGAAGGCAGGGACCGGGTCTCCAGGCCTCTTTGTCTCTATTCACACAGTGCCTTTCCCTGGGTCCATGTTGCAGACGGATCAAAGTATTAGCTCTTTGACCATCTGATCACCTCCCCACCTTCACTTTCTTTTCTTCCCTTGATTCTTCTAGAAGGACAACACCTTTGTAGCCTTGCCTCTGACAGATGACGAAGCTTACGATTGGCTGGCCATGGTGGGCAGCCCTCTGCTCCCACCACCCCAGACCCTTGGCTCTGCTAGGAAAGAGATTCTGCTGCCTTTGTGTTCTGTGGCCCCCCAGGGAATGAGTAGGTGCTCTTGGGACATAAGGGGTGTGTGTGTGTGTGTGTGTGTGGTGTGTGTATATAGATTTGTGTCTAAGGGTGTGTGTGTGGGTAGGAGGACATTGGCTCCTGAAAGGCATGGTTTCCATGCCCTTTGGGAATAGGTTAAAAAAATCGGGTTGTTTAGTGTTGAGAAGAGAAAACTGAAGGGAATAAATATTAGATCAGAGGACATGAGGTCCAGTTCTGCCTTTTTTACCTGTGGCCAACTGAAACTTAAGGCCACATTCTTTAGCCTCTCTGGCCCTCAGTTTCTCCATCTTTAAAATGGAGGGATTGCATTCAAGGATCCTTCAGGCCCTTTCCATTGAGAATCCTATGACAACAGCAGCCTTCAAATATCTGAAGGCTTTCACGTGGAAGAGGGAGGAAAAGCATCCTGACTCTGCCGACAGAGGGGGGTTAGAGCCAGTAGGTAGAAGGCAGAAGGCAGATTTCAGCTAAAGATTTAAAAAAATGAAGTATGTTTCTAACAGTTTTGAAAACGCCCTGAGTTGCTCCGGTAAGTGGAAAGTTCTCATCACTTGTGACTCATTTCAGGCAGAGGCAGCTGAGCCCTCCTGGGAAGGCCCTAGAAGGTCCTGCCCTGGAAGGAAGGCTGGGCTTCCATGCTGCATGGGAGAGGGGCAAACACCGGGAAAGGCGCTGCCCTCTTGGGATATTCTATGAGCAGAAGCAGCTTAGCTGACTGGTTCATTATCCCTTTGGGAGGCCCAGAGAGCCTGGCATGGAGAGCCTGGCCCCGAGGCATCTTGAAGAGAGTGAGGGCAGGAAGGAGGGAGGGTCGGGTTGGCTGGGGCAGACCTCGGGTGACCAGCGTGGGAGAAGTGAGCTGAAGCTCACATTGTCCCTTCTTGTCTCCCCCGGCCTGTCTTCTTTCCTCTCCACCCTCCAGCACAGAGCCCGAGGCCCCAGGCCCTTACTTGTCCTCCAGCTTCTGCCGTAGAGATGACACCAGGAGCTCCAACCTTAGGTTCTCCTGTCTGCTCTCCCTGAGCTAGAGAGAGGGAGGAGAGGAGGGTGAGCAGGAGGGTCTGGGAACCTCCCAGAGGCCCAGGAGGGCGTAAGCACTTAACTTCAGGCTCCCCTCCCTTTGCCTCCACCACTGCTTCCTGCCATGCCAGGTGCCAACTTGGAAGAAATGACCTTTGAGGGCCTTCACCTGGGGAAGTCTCTTTTCTTCTTTGGGCTTTATTTTCCTCATCTGTTAAATGGACACCCCATACAGATGGATATCCTATGGTTCCTCCTGATCTCCCTAACATCCATCCCACACTATGGAGGCCAGACTTCCAGTGGCCTTCCACCTAATCCCTTGGAATGTCAATTCCAACCTCATGTTCTCCACTGTCTGGAATGCCTGCTTTTCTCCCAATTGAAGCCAGCCAGCTCAGTCACACCTCTTCCAGGAACCATGCCTTGAATCACACCCAACCTGCACTCCTCTGCCCCTTATCTGCCCCCCTCCAGACATTAGATTCTAGAAACTCTCTGGAACTTGGAGGCATTTTGATGAAGGGGATGAGATTTGAAGCCAGGAACATATGGGTTTGAATCCCACCTCTCACACATAACTAGTTGTGTGACCTAGGAAAAGTCGCTTAACCTTGTTGATCCTCAGTGATCTCACCTGTAAAGTGGGAGTGATAAGAGCACCCAGACCACGGGGTTGTGATGAGGATCAAAAAAGGAAGCATAGGTAAAGCACTTTCGAAACCCTAAATGCGAGCTATGTAAATATCAGTTACTCTGATTCTTTCATTCTTATTTTTTATTATCATGGCCATATGGACAGCAGAACTGTTCCCTCATCAGTTCCTGTGTGTATCTCTCCCACGAAACTAAGAGATTTCCCATGGACAAGATCTAAGGCTTCTCCATCTCCTCATCTCCCATCTCTCGGCTCCTGGTTACCCAGGAAGCCCCTGGAGAGACTTGGCAACTTGAAGTGTAGAACTCAAGGTAACCGCACGTGGCCAGAGAGTATGAAAATGACCCACCCCAGGACCAACACTGCTGAGCCCCTGGGTTCCCAGCCCTGGAAGGGAGCTTTGTTTTTTTGTTTTTTTTTAATTTTGTTTTTTTTAAGGCAATTGGGGTTAAGTGACTTGCCCAGGGTCACACAGCTAGTGAGTGTCAAATGTTTGGTCTGAGGCCGGATTTGGACTCAAGTCCTCCTGACTTCAGGGCTGGTGCTCTATCCACTGCGCCACCGAGCTGCCTCTGGTGGGGAGCTTTGGAAGAAAGGAGAGGCTTCCTCACCCCCACAACCCTTTCAAGCACAAATGTCCCCAGTTTACAGATGAGTCTGGGAACTTAGGTAATTTGTTGGCAGAGCAGGGATTTAAACCCAGGCCCTGGGACTCTGAACCCAAAGCTCTTTTCACTTGACTGAATTGTCTCAAGGGAACTCGAGGAAGGGTGAGGTCAGTGGAAGCAGCAGGGCAGGGGTGATCCCAGAACCAGGGACAGGGCTGTGTGAGCTCTTTGATTTTTTCCCGTTCAATCACCCAACACAGCAGCTCCCTGGGCTCCTTCCTACCTGTCCTCTGGTTTCCCACCCCCACACCCAGTCACCTCACTTGGGTCTCATGAAGGCCAAGCCACCCCTCCCTAAGCCCTGGGGCCACATGGAGCCCTGCCTCTTTGGGGGAAGCTGCCCAGCTCAGGAGAGAGACTTTGGGAATGCAGGGGCATGGAGGTGGTAGGTAGAGCTGGGAGTACCTGACTCTCGGCAGCCTCCACGCCCTGCTGTCCGGAGTCCTGGGAAGCCTGGAGACAGACAGAGACAGGAGGAGGAGGCCTGGAGATAAGCTGACCCAGAGGAGGGACTGACTAGCCAGGAGTGATCTGTCAGGATCTCAGGCACACCGACGGAAGAGAGTTTGTGGGGCAGGGCGGCCTTTTCGGTATCACTGGATCTGCCTCCTACCTCCCTCAGGATGTCTCCTCTGACTGATCCAGCTTGGACTGTACTCCTGTGGGAACCTTTGGGTGCTCTCCTACATCCTAACAGTTAAGATTCTTGGGTTTGACTCCTGCAATGGGAATCCCTTAGCTTTTTGGAGAGGCATCATGGTACAGTAGAAAGTGTGCTAGATATGAGGTCAGAGAGCCTGAGTTCAAATCTCGTCCCTGACACTGACTTTGGGTAAATTACTTAGTTTTTCTGGGCCTCAGTTTCCTCATCTGTAAAGTTAGACTAGGCAGCTATTAAGTTGGACTAGGAGACTCTTAAGGTCCTTTCCAACTCTAAACATAAGACTTTATCTGAATTCCTACAGAATATAATCAGATTGTTCTTTAATTGGTCCATTTATGGGCCTTGTCTCCCCCACCAGATGGGGAGCTCCTTGGGAAAAGAACCCTTTATCTCTTCTAGTCTCTGACAAGTGCAGCTGAGTATGGGGCTGGCCACACATTGGGGCTCAGTGAAAACGGGTTGAACTTGACTTTGTGATTAGTGGTGGTTGAGAGAACCAGCACAGTCCAGGGTTCAGAGGCTCAGGGGAATTTGAGACTGGAAAAGGTCTTGGGCTTTGGCTCCTTCCCCCAAGGGAGGCCCCAGAGTTCATCTCAGTGACCCACCATCATGGCAGCTGTGGACTGAGGCCTCTGAAAAGGAGACTCTTCCTCTGCCCAAGGTCCTGATTCTAGGACCTTGATAGATTTTCTAGGACTGACCCGACTCCTTTTACGCACAGCGCTCCCTGGAAGGAGGGCCCAGGACAATGCCCTCTCACTCCCCAGGATCCCAGGACCCTACCTCATGTTCTTCTGGCATCCTCAGTTTCAGCTCCTGCAGCTCCTGCAAAGAAATCCTCATGTTCTAGAGGGTTGGGCAGGAGGAGGACAAGGCAGGAGGAGAGGGCAGGTGGGGGACACAAGACCACAGACCCTGGACTTTTCCATCTCCAACCATCCCCAGGGATGTCCTTCAGAGGCAGGGGCTGGAGACTGGAGGGGATAAGGAGGAAACCAGCTGAGGGCCAGCAATACACCCAGGAAAAAATCTGGTGGCCCGAGGCTGGCTTAGTTAGTTAGTTGGTAGGGTCCCTTACTGAGGTGAGGCTCCGAAGCCGCTGCGCCTGCTCCTGCCCCAGGGTTCTCTCCTTCTGCAGCTGCTGTCTTAGAATTTCTGCCTCTGACAAGGGTCCAGGAGCTCCTGCTTCCTGGCCCCCTCGGGCGTCTCTCTGAAATGGCTGAAGCGGCTCTGGCACCTGAGGGCTGAGAGGGTGAGAGGATTCTAGTGGCCTTCTCCCACCTGGCATTCAGAGGCACCATCTGAGCTGGCAGTGACGCGGGTGATCCATTCTTCTCCATCTCCCTAAACATACCCAGTGCCCATATGAGGGGAATGGGAAGCAGACCCCCAAGGAGCTCATAGCCCAGTGAGAGAACCGATGGAATCACTGAATGCTAGAGGAGGAAGGGGCAGTTAGGTGGCCCAGTGGATAGAGCCCCAGGCCTAGAGTCAGGAAGACTCGTCTTCCTGAGTTCAAATCTGGCCTCAGACACTTCCTAGCTGTGTGACCCTAGGTAAGTTACTTCACCCTGGTGGCCTCAGTTTCCTCATCTGTAAATAAGCTGGAGAAGGAAATGACAAACCCCTCCAGTATCTTTGCTAAAAAAACCCCAAATGGGGTCACAAAGAGTCGGGCACAACTGAAATGACTAAACCAACAACAAGAAAAGGAAGGAAGCTTAGAATCGTTTAGTCTAACTGCCTCATTTTACAGATGAGGAAACTGAGGCCTAGAGATCAATGAGTAGAAGCTACAAAGAGGCAAATTTAGGCTTGATGTCAGAGAAAACTTCCTAACAATTAAGCAAGGACCCTTAAACTAGGGTCCATGAACTTTAAAAAAATTGGGTTAGCTGTTTCAACATGGTTGGTTTTCTTTATAATTCTGTGTATTTTACTGTATATATTTAACAACATGATTCAGTAAAGGAGGTCATAGGCTTTATCAGGCTGCCAAAGGGCTCCACGACACACAAAAGGTTAAAGTTCCTGAATTTGCGTGGAATCCTGAAGTGGTCCCGAATGCCTCCTCACGGGAGGTCTTCAAGCAAAGCCTGGATGATGGGGATACTGAAGACGTTCTTGTTCAGGGATGGGTCGGGCCAGGGGACCCCTGAGGCCCCTTCCAACCCCGACATCCTGTCAGGTGACCTACTCAAGATCACTGGGAGAGGTAGCATGACACTTATCCTCTCTTTGTCTCCTTTTCCTCATCTGTAAAATGGGGGTTTGACCTTCCTTGGAGTACGGTGAGGAGCAAATGAGATCATTTATGGAAAGTACTCTGTAAGGCTAGAAGAGCTGTAAGGAAGGGAGAGGCGGGAGGGTAGATGGTCTTCACTTTTTCTGTGTCTCAGAGTCCTTGGGCAGTGGCCGGAGAAGCCCTTAGACCCCTTCTCAGAATCACGATTTTGTTTGTTTGGTTGGTTTTGGTGAGGCAATCGGGGTTAAATGACTTGCCCAGAGTCACACAGCCAGTAAACGTTACGTGTCTGAAGTTGGATTTGAACTCAGGTCCTCCTGGCTTCAGGGCCAGTGCTCTATCCACTGCGCCACCTAGCTGCCCCCTAGCTGCTCCCTAGAATCAAGTTTTTAAAGGCACAAAATAAAACACAGAGTAAAACAAAGGAAAGCAAAGGTCCGTGAAGACAAAGATGTAAATGGTTTTGTTGTTTTGTTTTCCTCCACCCAGGTTTGTGGACCTCTGGAAATGTCTCCGAGTTCCCTGGCATGGTGGAAAGAACCTTAGATCTAGAGGATCTGGCTTCAAGTCCCATTGCTGATGCTTACTACCTATGTGGCCCTGGGCAAATCACAGTCTCCCTTGGCCTCAGTTTCTTCATCTGTAAATGAGGAGGGTTAGACTATGAAGTGCCTTCTTGCTCCGTATCTGTGATGTCCGGCACAAAATAAATGGTTAATAAATGCTTGTTGACTGACTGACCGACCAAGGGCAAATCTGGCCCCTTTTATTTATTGCCTTGGGAGAATGTCTTCTTCCCTCTAAGGGCCTCAGTTTCCTTGTCTGTAAAATGAAGGGTGTGGACTGGTTGGCTTCCAGGGTCCATTCCAACTCTAACCCTTATGGCCTCGTGAGGACTTCAGCTGTTGTTAATGGCAGAGTCAGGACCACAGAGGGCGTCTCATAGCTACCACCTGGCCATCTAGGAATCCTTCTGCTATACCAACCTGCCCCCTGGTGGAGACGTGGGGGAGAGCACATAATCCAAACGATTCAGGGACCATCATTCCTCATTGGTTGTAGAATGACTTTTATAGCTTCAGCAGCTGTGGGGGGGATGGAGGGGGGGGGGGGGGGGCGGGGGAGATTACTAGGAGGGAGTCGGTCACAGAAAAAGCTGGCCAAGGGTTAAATATCAAACCCACGCTGCCTGCCTAGCACATGGTTGTTCATTCTTCGTTCTGCTAGGCACGGAGGAGACATTCTATAAATCCATTCACTAAGGGTCTGAGACCATGTTTCTCCAGCCTTACCGACCTCTCCCTGTCCTGTCTCGTGTGAGCCACCTGTGGGGCACAGCCTCATCTGCTAAATGTGCACCTGGCACTAGATAATCCAGTCCAGGAGCTCCTGAAGTTCTGGTGAGGCAGAAAAGAGTGAGCGCTGTGCATTCGGCCCCAGCCTGTCGTTGACTACCTGTGTGACCTTAGTCAAGTCACTTAATCTCTCTGAGCCTCAGTTTCCTCATCTGTAAAAGAAGAGGTTTGGGGTTGAGTCCCCTTTTAGTGCTACATCTATGATTCTATATGGTCAGAAGAGCATGGTTTATGGCAGGTAGGGGATTGGAAGCAGGAGGAGGAATGGGTAGAGACCCTTCTCCCCCATTCTATTTTCAATTATTACATCCAATTTATGATTACTTATACCCTGTGTTTCTAATATAGTTTTATTTTTTTATAAGTACTTTCATTTGATTCCCCAGAAACTCCTGTGAGGTGGTAAGGCAAATGCTATTGTCCCCATTTTACAGATGAGGGAACTGAGGTCCAAAGAGGGGAACAGACTGAAAAACAAAGAGGAGCATACCCTGGAACATCCAAGGGTACACTGTCACGTGTGCCCTGTGGGGTCAGAAGGGAAGAAGCAGGAAAAAGTGGAGCCTTGTATCCAAAAGAAGGTGGCATGGTGACTCTGGGTTAATCCAGAATCAGAATTTTTCTAGAGTTAGAAGGTGTTCTGCCACCATCTAGTCCAACCCAGGCCTGAACAAGGATCCTCTTTACTGCATCCGTTACAGGTGGCCATTCAGCCTTTACCTGCGGGTCACCAGTAAAGGAGGGACCTGTTAAGTGCCAAGGCATCCCTTCACACTCCTTTATGGATAGTTCTGATTTTTAGGATAATTGTGCTGACCTTGAGCCTAAAATCGCCTCTTTACAACTTCTACCCACCATTCTTGGTTCTGCCCTGTGGAACCCAGTAGAAAAGGCAGCTGCCATTGCTCCCCTGGGTCCTCTCCAGGCTGAACATCCCCAGCTCCTTCCACTGATGCTTACATGGCATGAACTCAAGGCCTTTCACTTTGTAGGTGCCTTTCTCCGGACAGTCTCCAGTGAACCAATGTCTTTCCTAAACCATGGCACCCAGAACCACACAATGCTCCAGATGGATTCCTACCAGGGCAGGGTATGGGACAATCCCATCCCTAGCCCTGGGTGCTTTGCCTCCCATAATGCTGTTCCAGATCATGGTTAGCTTTTCAGCTACCACACTGTATTGTCAACATCTCCCCAAAGGCTCCCCAAAGAAGGTGGGTATTGGGCATGAGCTTACCAAGCATGGAGGTAAAGGCAATGGAAAGCATAGGGGGCTATTTTTGTTGTAGGAGACCCAGGCTGGCCAAAGTACCCACCATCTGGGTTAGGCCAGATAGAGGGGACTAGCTCAGACAAAACGGGAGAGGAAAGCTCACCTTCCTGATGAAGATCCTTGAAGCTCCTGGAGGGGTCTATGAGGCTCTGCTTTGGACTGGAGCTGCTGAGAGAGAAGGATGTTGCTGGTTGGGTGACCACATGGCTACACTGGACAGGGACTCAGTAGAACCTGGTCTGGAGAGGCTGAAGAGAGGGATGTCCAAGATACTATCCCCACCCTTTAAGCCTCAAAAGGGCTCTACTGGGTTTTCTTTCTCTTTCCTTCCATGGTTTAGACCCGTGATTTCAACTGTTTAAAGGGAATTCCCAGTATAGAAACTTCCTTCACCACTGCAGATCAGATGCTAGTCTGTAACTTAGAGCCATAGAGAATTTTCTGGGGCCACTGAGAAGTTAAGTGACTTGCCCAGGGTCACGCAGTTAATATGTATCAATATCAAAAGCAGAACTTCAGGTCTTCCTGACTCCAAGATTTGTCCTCTATCTACCATGCCATACAGCTAGGGATTCCAAGTGTCAGAGGAGATTAAGAAAATCCTTGTGTACAGAGCCCTATTCTAGGTGCTAGAAGAGACAAAGAAAGGCAGGGAACTCCGGGTAGGAGGGGGAAGACAGCCACCCACCCTCAGGGAGTCTCTACTCTGGCACAGGCTCAGAGGCTGCTTTCAGGGATGTCCCGAGGAGGACAGGAGATCAGTCCTGCCATAAGAAGCCCTTACTTTGAGGGGTATGCCATGACTGCCCTTGGAGACTTCACCCACTCACACACAGGCACTCTCTGCAGGCTTTTACCATGTCCCATCGGGGCTCTGCTTCTGTCCCCTTCAGGGTCCCAGAGGGGCACGGTCCCGGACCTGGCCATGCCAGTGGAGGCTCTGCCCTCTGGGGAGCACTCCCGCCTTGCAGCCCCCGAAGCTGGTGCTGCAGGGCCAGGCTCAAACTTCGTTCGAGTTCTAGTTGCTGCTTGCAGGCATCCAGCTCGATCTGAAGCATTGGGCTCTCGTCCAGCTGGGGATGGGAATGAAGGGAGGCATCGTCAGTGGGCAGAGCTGGTGGGCTGAGATATGGGACACGAGTCTGAGGAGGCTCAGTTCTCCCAAGACAGAAAGAAGGGATCCCAAACCCTGCCCCTGTGCATGACCATCACCTGGGATCATGGAGGAGTGAGATATGGGGAGAAAGGAAGGGGGCAGAGAGGGGCTTTGTACTTCATGCATTCTTCCATTGGAGCTTCTGTGAGGGAGGCCCTTAAAGACTATTCTCCTCATTTGACAAGTTGGGAAATCGAGGCCCAGATTGGTGAAGTGACGTCATCTTAGTCAAACAGCATGTTTGTGGCTGAACCAGTACAAGAACCCAGGTGACCTGCCTCCCAGACAACGGCCTCTTCTATTAGAAAATGCTGCTACTCAATATCTCCTGATACCTGATTAGAGAGATTCTGAACCTTCTGATGGGCAGGGATTCTGGATTTGGGGAACTGATAGATATTCTCAGTCTTGGGAATCCTGGAGCCCAGACCACAGCTACTTGGCAATACAGCAGCCAGACAGAGTAGACCCTAGGAACCAGGCTGGGTCCCTTTGCTAGGCGTGGGCATTCAGACCCTTCCCACAAACTCTGCTCCCTCCAGACAAGATGGAAGTAGAATGCCAAGCTGTGTCCCCATCTGCACCTTCCACCTCTGGATCACCAGCGCCATCTGAGCATTTTCCCGCTCCAGTATTTTCATCTTGCTTCTATTACAGAATAGAGGGTGAGGGAGAAGAGGGAATAAGCTTCATGAATGTGAGAAGACTGGGGATTGGGCTTCTGAAGAAGATTCACCATCTACCCCTCCCTAGTTCTGAGATGACTTCTGTCTTCTTTGGGGCCCTTGTTCATAGCGACCCAAATTCCCCAGGACTCCCCTTTCTTTTCTCCCCATTGCTGGTTACCTTACCCTCCAGGTCATACTTACTGGAGATCTCTCTGGCATTCCATCTTCTCTGTTAGTGAACTTGAGTCCTGGGAGAAATCAGGAGGAAGGTAGGAAAAGTGGAGGCTGATTCCTCCTTTTCTGGCTCCCTTCCTGACCCCAGCAGTCTCCACCTCCACCCTTCAAGCCATCCAACACTAGTCCCTGGTGGGAACCCTGACCTCCTGACCTGAACTCTCATGGGGAAGGGGTTGTCACAGGAAGGGTCAGATACTTAACAGAAGTTTCAAGAGACCCTGATATAGAGGAGAACATGTTGGTCGGAGAGAAGACCAAAAAAATGGTTTTAGTTTAATTACTAGAGTAAGAGATTTGAGTTAGATACAATGAAGAATTTTCCCTCAATGAGGGCTGTTAGATACTGAAATAAAATTGAAGGGAGACAAAGAGACAGAAAAATAGAAGCAGAGAGCAGAAGAGGGAAAAGAGAGAGCAGGAGAGAATAGGAGAGAAAGAAAGAAGCAGGAGAAGACGTGAGTGAGGCCAGAGGAAGAGAGGCAGAGGAACTGTCTTCTTTCTCACTTCCCCAGAAGAAATATGTTGATATTTCTTCGCCAGCCGGGTCCCTTCCAGCTCACTGGTCTCATTTTCCCTGAAAGAAAGATACTGTCAGCTTCACAAATTAAGCCGTCCTCTCTCTTCCTGGGTCTTTTTTTCTTCTACCCTTCACTCTGGATCTTTACCTTCCTCTTCCAGGCCAACCTCACCATACTTCTGGTCCTTAAGGCTCAAGAAGACCCATTAACCAATGTGGGGAATGTTCCTTCCATCAGTAAGAAAGGCTATCCCTGCCCTTCCTCCCAGACCGCTCCCAAATAAGTCTGCCCTTATCCTTCCCCAAACACCATCAAGCAGCCACTGAAGTCCAGAGGTCGCTTACTTGCCCACAGGGTCTTTCAACTCAGCCAGATCTTCCTTTTCCCCTGAGAAAAGCTCTTGGACCCAGGGAACCTGGAAAAGAGAAGAGAGGAAATTGGAAAAGAAGAATGGATAAAGCAGAGTAGAGAGTTATTGAGAGTATAAGAGAGTCCTGAGCAAGAGGGAATTAATAATGGCCAATGGGGTGGGTAGTGGGAAGTGCTTGAAAGTCTGATTGCCACTGTGCTCAGAAGTGGGTCTTCATTCGCTTGTACAACATGCATGTGTTTTGTATGGCATTGCAGTCACAGACTGCTATAGTCTGAACAACTGAAGTTGAGGTCAAAGGTCAGTGAAAGGAGGGAGGTGATTGCATCACATTGCAAGTGAGGATTTACTCCAAGAAATCTATGTTCTGAAAAGAAAATGGGACCAATTACATGAGGAAAGCAAAGTATAACCAATGAGCAGCCCATGTGTTCCATAGATATCCTTGAGATGTCAAGAGAAAGTGAGGAAGGTAATGATCTGCATTGGCCTGGTGGAAATACCTCCCTCTCTTCCTTGAGGAATATTGTATACACTGTCACATGGGGTTGATATGTTGGTTAGTTTTGCTAAACTGCTTTTTTCCTTTTCTTTTTTTTTGTCATTTTTTAAATTTTTTGTTACAAGGAATGTCTGGGTAGAGGTAGGGTTATATTTGGAAATGAAGGTGATGTAAAAATAAGAAATCAACAGTTTTTTTTTTAAGAAAATGAGGAAGGCCCTAAGGACATTGGGTTGACCCCTTTTGGCATATTTATCATATGGACGTGGGCATGAGTGGGTGATCATTCATAGGAGGGAAGGAGCAAGTCCCAATGGGAAAGACAAGAGCACAAAGGGATTCTGGGGAGTGGAGGAAAGGGGAGCATCTCAGAGCAAGTGGCACTGGGTGGGAGAGCCATAAGGGGTGAGGAAAGCCCACCTTGCATGACCAGCCTCTCCTCTGTCTCTGGACCATCTCCAGTTCCTCCTCCTTGGATTTCAACTCATTTGCCACCTGGTGCCAGCGTGCTTTCCAATACTGAACTTCCTCCTTATGGGTCCTGGGGCATGATGTTTTCACCTCTGGCTCCTGCTGGGGAGTTGCCAACTCCTTCTGGAACTGAGGATGTCTGGGAAGGAAGATGGACAGGGAGTCCTATAGGCATGTCTCATAGCTTGGGATCTTCTTCCTCTCCTTTCATGTCAGTTCATATTTGTCATTTTCTGAAGCTGCCCATGCTGCTCTCACCTGGAAGGATTGAACCTTCTCCTCTGTGACTCCTGGTGACACTATGCTTGCCTGAATTAACCCTCTCTCTACCCTGGGCACCCTGAGGTAGCAGCATCTGAGCTTTTAAACAGATCTGCAGTCCTTAAATGGGATAACATTTAAATGGGCCATCTGCTAAATAGGCCAACAACATTTGGTCATTAGAAGGCTCCAAGGGGCTTCAAGAAGGAGAAAGTGTTTATGATATGACTGTCTGGATTAGGATCCACTAGATTGGATCCTTTTCCCCATTCCGTCCCCAAATCAGCAAGGCAGGGCCCTCTCTTTTCATTGGTTCTCTCTTCTGTGATGCTGATGCTTTCTGTTGCTTCTTGAACCAATTGAGGTTGAGGGCTTAGGACATCACAACAAAGGGCTTTGAGATCCCTGAAGGGAAAAAGTCACTTACCCACTGGCCTCACTATTCTGCCAGGAAGCTGTCCCGAGCTCAGTGCCTCCCCCTTGCCCCTGGAGCACAGACAACAGTGCCAAGTTCTCTCCCATCAGCTGGGCTTGCTCAGCCTCCAGGGCCTGGAGCCAGCTGTGGCAAATCTTCTTCTCTGTCTGCAGCTGGTAGAGCTGGTTTAGACAGGTCCTCAGTCTCTGGCGGCTCTGGCCCAGCTCTGAGGAGAGCTGCTCATTCACCTAGGGATGATCCCATACCCACCCCAAGGACTGTTGGTCATTCTCCACTGCATTGCGGTTGGCCTGTCACTCATCCCACCCATGCCCACCTAATACAGGGCCTGGCACATAGAAGGCCTCAAGCAATCAATTGACTGATTAGCTGGTTGGTTCTTGGACAAGAGATGTACAGTCAATCACTGGACCTATACTTCAAGCTCTTCCTGCTCGGTAGGACCATGCAGAGTGGGCACTCTGTAACATGGCCTTTGAGACCCCAAGGTCACCTCCAAGATGGGACTAGGCATTAGATGAGGTCTTTAGTGTAGGATTATTATGAGGATTATTTCACTATAGGGGCACAGTGGAATAGGCACAGAATACTGGGGTTGGAGGCAGAAAGTTTAATCTGAGTTCAGATTCTATCCCTGACACTAGCTTGGCACCTGGGCATGTCACAAAAGCCCCTAGGACTTTGGATTTGCACCAACGGAGGGAAGGCCCTTGAATGTTATTCTCATTCTTTATTATTAATCAATCATCGTTATTAACTAGATGGTAAAAAATTAAGTTGAATGCTCGGCCAGCAAGATGTAGTGACAGAGATGGCCTTGGTGTCAGATCTGAATCTTTCCACTGGCCACATCCTGACTATGGCACCATATGAGATAAATGACTTAACATCTCAGTCCAGAGAAGTTGATGTCTTACTTTGGTGGAGAGAGTTTCCATGCTGGGAGCTTTCAACACTAACAAAACCACAGGTTCAGACTCCTCCGCCCCCAAAATAAAACCACCCAGGACAAGCTTGGACAGATCTCCAGCCCATTTTCATAAATGTGGTGAAACAGGGCTCCTCCTCAAAGGAGCCTTTGGTCTCATAAAGGACTCAGAACCCTTGCCCTCAGACATCTGCTTTCTTTTGAAGGAAAAAGAAAAACACAAAGGAGATTGCCCCACACAATGTTCTTCAGTTGTGCACCACTCTTTGTGACCCCCTGGATAACAGCATGCCAATAGTGTCCATGGGACTTTCTTAGCAAAGATACCATAATGGTTTGCCATTTCCTCCTTCAATGGATGCTAAGTGACTTGCCCAAGGTTGCACAGCTAGTAAGTGTCTGAGGCCAGATTTGAAGGGGAGAGGACGACTGAGACACAGCCCATTGTTTTTTCCTTCCTCCCTCCTAGTTCAAACGGCGCTGGGCTGCCTTCCAGAGAGCCTGAAGCCTAGCTCTGGCTCTGCCAATAATTTACTGTGAGACTTTGGGCAAGTGTCTACACTGGCCTTCCCACCCCTTGTCTTCACCTGTCTACTGAGAGAATTGGATCAGCTGCTCTCCAAGGCCTGCTCTGGCTGTGAGATTCTAAGATTCTCGGAAGGTCATGTTCCAAGAAGGGCTAGGACAGGTCGGGGTGAGCCAGGAAGAGGGAGCCAGGCCAAAGTTACCTCTTTAATGATCACCAGCTCTTCTTGAAGAAAGATCATGTCCTGGGACACCTGCGGGGTAGAGGCCTTCAGGTCCTCGAGTGGTATTTCCTCCTGGCCCTCTAGAGTCTGATTGGCATCAAAGCTCAGCTCCTGTCCTGGCTTCTCCTAGAAATGAAAACTAGCCTTCAATGCCCTCAGCATCCCTCTGTTCCAGAGGTTTTTACCCTTTTCGTGCCATGGACCCCTTTGGTAGTCTGGTGAAACCTTTGTAGTCCTTCTCAGAATGATCTTTTTAAATGCATAAAAATACACAGGATCACAAAGAAAATCAATTATATTGAAATTCAATTATAAAAATATTTTTTAAAAACAAGGTTACAGACCCCAGGTTAGGAACTCCCAGTCTACACTGACCAGGTAGGTCTACTTTGGGGTCATTAGCCTAGCTATCACTGTGGTGAGCCTCACTCCCTACTGATACCTCCAATCCTTAAGCAGGATTATGCCCACCAAGGTCCTCCACACACCCCCCACCAAGTGGAAGTCTCAACAATGACTTTCCAAAGAGGAATTGGCTGGGCCACATTAGCTGACTGGGAAGGGGGACACCTCTATCAACCCATGGTACCTGAAAGATGGGGTCCTGGTTGGTCACCAACGTCTGGAGCTTGGCATTGAGTTCAGCCTCCTGACTCTCAGGTCTGAGTCTGGGCTCCTGCTCAGAGGATATAGAGGGCATCTAGTCAAAAGACATCACCCTTCCCCATGTTCTTGAGCCATCCCAGGGTTCCTATGACCCAGAAGCTAACCCAACCACGCATAGAGTTTTCCAGAATTCTACCTGGTCTGCAGATTTGTCCAGAGTCTACAATTCCTTGCCTAGATATCAAGGGCATTTGGTGCCTGTACCCCTCTACCCATTTAGCCTTATCTCTTATTGATCCCCAACAAACAGTCCTTGCTCCAGCCTTTCTGAGATCTTCAGTCTCCCCCACACAGCCCATGCCTGTTTCCAGAGCCACAACTAGAATGAGACTCAAGTCCAGGAAGGCATTGGTTCAAATCCCATCTTGGATACATACTGGCTGTGTGGAGATCAGGCCACTGTCTCAGACTAGAAGGTGTCAACTTGCATCATCGAGAGAAGGAGTTGAGAGAGGGAGTTTCTCTATGCCAAGGGAATGAACTCACAAGTCCATTCCTGCTCTTTCTAGGAAAATTAGTTCACATAGGAGGCATGGCACACTTCCTCTTTCATCCCAATCAATCAATCAATCAATCAATCACCATTTATTAAGAGCCTGCTATGCACCAAGCACTCTGCTAAGCTAACCCCACTGCCCTCCAGGTTGCATCCTAGGGTCTCCCCCACTCACAACTGAAATTCTCTCAAAAAGTAAACTAAGGGTGTATTTCATGCTGCCTGATCCAAGTGAACTTTGCCCCCGGCACCAAAATTGCTTGTTCAGGACCCTGCTCATTCCTTCTTCTGAATCTTTTCCCATGCTGCTGCCCTATGGAAGCTTTCCCTTCTCCTCTCCAAATCCTTCAGGGCCCACAGCCTCCAAGGAGGCTTCCCTGACTCCCCCAGCCTCCCTGTTCTGACCTCCTATAGCACACTAACCTTCATGACTCACACTGACCCATACGTTTATGCCATCCCCTATTCTTTAATCATTTAATTTATGTCACTCTTCTTCCCCCGCCAAAATATGAACGGAGTTAGAGATGGTGCTTCTTTTTTCTCTGTCTCCCCCATGCACAGGTCTGGGCACTCGGGTAACTCAGTAAAGGCTTGTGGGGTGAGAGTTATCACTTCCCCATCCTCCCCCCCCCACCCCACCTCACCCCTTCCAGTCCCTTCCTGACCTCTTGTTGCCCACTGCAGTATTTAGACTCAGGAGCCATGTGCAGGCTTCCCTGGGCTGGGAGGTGAGCCCAGCCTTCAGGTTTCCCTCTGGCCATCCTCACCTCTGGGTCCTCCACAAACAGTGGCTGGTGGCTCATTCTGTCCAAACACAACTTGACTTTCATCACTTCTGCCTGTAGATGCAGGATTCTGGAGGAGAGAAAGGTGGAAGGGAGGAGGGTCCTTCCTTCCCACCACCCATTCCCCACCCTTCTCCCTCAGCCCTCCCAGCCTTCTGGTCACACCCTCCTCACTTGTCCTGGAGCTCTCTGTCCCGCTGCTGCTCCTGTCTTCTGGACCTCTTCAGCTCTCTTCTCTCCCACTCCAGGCGAACAAGGGAGCTTTCCATCTGCTGCCATGAAATGAGAGGTGAAAGGGACCAAGAAGAGATCTGTTTCCTGGCCAGGGGTTTACCCCTTCCTTCCTCTTATCCCCTGACTTGTATCCCTGGCAGAGGGAGAGGTCAAGTGCTTACACGACACTGCTTGGGCATGCCATCTGGGGGCTCTGATGAGCGGGGAACAGCTGCCCAATGTCCATCCAAAAGGTCTATTTCTGGACCTTCCAGATATGAGAACCCTGGATTTGGAGGTGTCTCATTTTGGGTACCCAGGAGCACATTTCCAACTTCGTGGGTATGCAATCTGGGCTTTCCATATGTGCTATGCCAGATATGTCTTGAAGACCCTTACTCTCCCTACCCCTTTCCCACCCCCTTTCACCTGCCTAGATCTGTTCCCTTTCCCCCTAGTCCTCTAGTGTGTCCTGACCTTAGGGATTTAAAGTACTTCAGGCCTGGGGTGGGGTGGGGGAGGCATCCCAACCTAAGACAAAGGACTCCCAAAGGGCAAAGTAGCATTAGGTTCAAGTCAAACAAGTCCCTCTTCTAATTACAGCTTCCCTTAGCATACGTGCAAATTACTGGAATACAGCTGGGAAAGGGCATGAAGCCAGTCAGAAAATCACTTTGGAAAATGGTGAGTAGGTGGAGCTGACCGTTGGGTTTAAAGGTCAGAGGTGTTCATCGAATCCAAGGGTCAGCCTTTGCAGCCCTGCATTTGGGCTGAAGTGGACAGTTTGGATCCCAGAAAGTGGAAGTTTATTTGGAACTCAAAGCCTTGTCAAGTGGAAAGGAAATCAGATTTTGTTGTGCTGGGCCCCAGAGGGCAGAACCAGGAGCACCTGGGGCAAAAGCCTTTGTGGGAAGAGTGCCAGCAGAGCAGAAGACAGTCTGTCACCCTGGCAGAGAGGTAGTCTGTGCCTCAGAGTGTTTTGCTTATGCCCCTTATAAGGGTTAGGGGCATAGGCAGGCCCCGTGGTGAGGGGGTGGTCCAAGACTGTGTGAAGAGGTCACACTACTCAGGGCCACAGCTATTTCCAGGCCTTTAAGTAGAAGCCAAAATATTGGTGCTTGGGAGAAAGCCTCAGTCACGTCCCTTCTTTCTTTCTCCCTCCCTCCCGCCAAGCTCCAGGAGTTGCAAAGAAGCCAAACAGCCTGCCTGGGGAGGTCACTCTCCCTGGACTCTCCAAGCAAAGGCTGCATGACCCCTTGTTGAGTTGGAAGCAGGGGAGACGCTTGGGCAGCGGTTTGAGGACTTAAAAGCCGTGCAGCTATTTCAGTCAGTGCGGGGACCTTGGTTAATCTGAGATGTGGGTCAGAGGTGGAGAAGCTGAGATTTACCCAGGATGAGAATAAGCCTGGGCTGGACCTGAGGAGGAGTCATAGCTATCCATCCCAATGGAGGGATGGTGAGGATGCCATTCTGGAGACAAAGTCAGGCCGGCTTGACTCAAGGAACACCGCTCCCTTACCTCACAGAGTTCCAGGGCCTCTCTGCTTAATTTTGTTTCACTATATTTCCCCCCTTTAGCTTCTCAGCAAAGATTTTTAACATTTCCCTACTTTGGTTGAATTAAGAGAAGGAAGATTTGCTAACAAAGCCCAGAGAAGTAAGGGAAGGCCATGTAAAGGAGACTGGATCTGCAGTTAGAGAACCTGGCTTCAAGTCCCACCCAGGAAATTCACTATTTGTATGACTTTGCACAAGTCACTTCAACTCCCTGGGCCTCAGTTTCCTCATCTGCAAAACGATGGGCTTAGACTAGGTGATCTCTGAGGTTGCTCTGACAATCTGTCTCAGATAAGAGCGAGATAGACAGCTCTGGGGAAGAAAGAAGGAATCAGCCCCATTCCTGTCCCATCCAGGGGCTTGCTGCAATGATCAGTGTCCCTCTCTTCTCATCCCCTGCCTGTGCACTCACTCACCATATTTCTCTCATTCTGAAAAACCATTACTCAATCCTCAAGCCAGTGGTGTGCTAGTAAATGTTTACCAATCAGATCTCTGAGGGGAAAAATACATCCAGGACACACCCTTAAGTGGAACCTGCATCATTAAGATTTTCTCCAACACTTCCTCAAGTCTAAACAATCAACAAAACCATACATCAAGCCCTGATTTGTAGCGTTAGCTGATTTCCAAGATGTAAATGCTTACACAGAAAATTTTATAATCAGCTCTCAAGAGCCCTCTCAAGCTGGCTCCCCCACACTCCTCCCTCAAGCTGGCTTCTTCTCTCTCTTTTCCCTTTCACTGCCAAACTGAGCTTTGTTTCCCAACCTCCTATTCACATCTTAGGCCTTGGCCTCCAGCTCTAACTCAGAATGGGCTGACAATCTTTTCATTGCTAAATCCAACAGTCTTTTCTCAATCTTCATCTTCCTTGACCACCCTGCAACTTCTGATACTGCTGACTATCCATTCCTCCCGGATATTCTCTCTTGCCTTGGTTTTTGGGACATAATTCTTTCCTGGTTCTCCTCTTAGCTCCTTCACTATCTCCCTTGGTGAACCTTAATTCATCCCCTGCTCACCAACTGAGTGTTTCTTATGGGACTGTGTTGGGCCCTCTTCTCTCCCCTCTCTCTCATTTCTTGCTTAGTGATGGGTTCAAGTAGCATCTCTATGCTGATGAGTCCCAGATCTATAAATTTATTCACCCTCAATCTCTCTCTCTGTGTCTCTGTTTCTCTATCTTTCTCTCTGTCTGTCTCTGTCTCTGTTTCTCTCTCCATCTCTGTCTCTCTGTGCATCTGTCTGTCTCCCATCAATTCCTCTAGATGATGTCACACATGCATCTCAGACTCAGCATATTATCTTCCCAACCTAAACCATCAGTCCTCTAAACTTGTCCATCTCTGTTAAGGGCACTGGCATCTTCCCAGTACCCTAGTTTCTCCTTCTTAACTCTTCCCACTTTTTCATCCCCATATCAAATCAGTTTCCAAGTCTTGTCAATTCTACCATTGTGGCATATCTGGTACCTATCTCCTTCTCTTCATTTACAGATTTACTGCCTTAGTTCAAGCCTTTATTACCTCTCACCTGGACTACATAAATAGCCTCCTAATTGGCCTCCCTTCCAACCTTTCCCCTTTATAATCCATCCTCTACAAGCTGCCAGAACAACCTTCCTATAACAGCTCTGTCCATGTTACTCTACTACTCAAGAACCTTTAATGGCTGCTTGTCGCTTTCATAAAAAATACAAATTCCTTAGCTTAATATTTAAAGCTCTCCACAGTGTGGTTGCCATCTACCTTCACAGTCTTATTTCACATTATTCTCCTTCATAAATTCTGCATTCCAACTAAACAGGATTACTAGTTTCTCCCTGAACTTGATATTCCATTTCGCATCTCCATGTGTTTGTACAAACAATTCCCTTTTCCTGAAATGGATTCATAGATTGATAGGGTCATATTCAAAACTAGAAGGTATCTTAGTCATCATGAAATCCAACCCCCTCCTTTTTCCTATGAGGAGACAAAGGACAAGAAAGGCTATGTGATTTGTCCAAGGTCACAGAGGTAGTAGGTAGCAAAGGTGGTATTTGAAGCCAGGATCTCTTCAGATCTAGCCCTGTATCCATCTGCCCCAATCAACCGATTTAAAAAGCACATATTAAGTGTCTCTTCTGTGTCAGGCGCTGTGTTATGTACTGAGGCAAAAATGAGACAGCCTCTGCTCTCAAGGAGATCTGCCAAGGGAGGCGATGAGCAGATACAGAGGCATAGACAGAGTCAGTGTTTATGGAGGGGGGTCACTAGCAGCTGAGGGGCATCAGGAAAGGCTTTGGATAGAAGACGGGTCTGTCTGCAGTTGAGCCTGGAAGTCAATAAGGGAGAAAAGCAAAGGTGAGGAGGGAGAACATGCCAGGTTGAGGAGGGGAGGGAGACAGGAAGGGGAAAGGGTAAGCATTTATACAGCACCTACTACGTGCCAGGCACTGTGCGAAGCGCTTGACAAACATTAGCTCAGGCCAATGCAAAGAGGGAAGATGGAGGACCAGCAAGGAGGTCATTTAGGCTCAGCCAGAGTGCAGGAAGGGCAGTGATACATCATGGAACTGGGATAGAAGGTTGGGCCCTGGAGTCACCGCATGACTTTCTCCCTGCACATCTCTAAAAATGCTTGTCTTCCTGCCAGGTCCAGCTTGGTAGCACCTCCTCCTCCCGAGCCTTGCTTGACTCTCCTGCCCCAGTTATTAACACTCTCCCTCCCTCCTCCATTTTCCTTGTCCTCTGTGTACATAGTCCCTGTAGAATGTAAGCTCTTTGAAAGCAGGGACTACAGTATTTCATTTTTTTTCTTTGAATTCCCAGAACCTAGGACAGCACCTTGCATAGAGTAAATACTTAATCAGCATTTGTTGAACAGAATTAACATGAAAGGGGCCCTGGGTTTTCAAGTGTTTTGTTTTGTTTTTCCACACAATCACAGGCAGGTGAAGGCAAAGTCTACTCTCCCCTGCCAGAAGCAGCCAAAGGCAGGATCTCCATGCCAACATAGGGCCCAGTGCCAACATGGCCGGGCTTACAATGCATCTGGATCTTTAGGGGAGGATTCGTTGCAGAGATGGTGTGGAGCATTGCATATACTGTCAGAATCGGCTAATTTGTTTTATTGAACTGCTTTTTTCAGGGGAGTCTTTCTCTTTCTTAGTTTTTGTTACAGGGAGGCTCCCTAGGGAAGTAGGATATAATTGGAAATGAAGGTGACATGAAAACAAAAGATATCAACCATTTTTCTTAGAGCTGCCTGTCTTATCTCATTAACCTCTGTTTTCCACTCTTTGCTATCTGACTTCCACCACTACTAATCCACTGGAACTGCTCTCTCTAAAGCCACCAGTGACCTACTAATCTTCAGATACACTACCTCTTCCCACTCTTCCTCCTTAATCTCTCTGCAGAATCAGACACCATTGGCCACCTCCTTTTCTGGACACAGTGCCTGGCATATAGTAGGTGCTATATAAATGTTTATTCCTTCCCCTTCCTCTTTC